AGATGCTGATGATATCCGTGATGAACAAATCTGGTTGATCCTGCCAGTAGACATGTGCTGAAGATTACGATGATGATGATAAAGATTGTCCTGCGAGTAGTTATGCGCATTTTTCCAAGTAACCTTGCACTTGTACTGCACCACCCTTCCCGTGCGCCTCCCTCTTTGAGAAGAAGGATTCGGCGGATGTCAGAATGTTGAAGTTGGATAGGGGATGATTTAATTCTCAGTTTGCCAGTTTTATTTTCCGAGGATATTATGTCTTTCGGCGAAATCAATGTTTAAAGAATATGTAGCGTGATGTTGGGGAATCAGATTGTCCAGAGCTACGGGCACCACTCATGTCTCGTCTTTTGTAGGAGACCCTCCGAGACCTCATTGTGGTTGCCTTTGAAGCCAGACAAATGCGGGTACCCCCAAAAAGCCAGACACACTTTGCCAAACAAGCCTTCTTTGAACAGCCCGCGCACTCCCGTTTGGCGCTTTCGCCATACGCCTAGGTTGAACCTTCGGAGGATTGGCTTGACAAGTGCCGGATTTCGCGAGGACCGATACTTATTCTTTGGGACCCGTCAGCATGGCTTGCTTTCACAGGGCACTCTGCGATATATCTCAGGTCGGCCGTTTGCTGACTCGTTGCCCAGCGTTAGAGGTGCAACTACCACACGATTTTAAGCAGTGCGTGGGAACAGTGTGAGGTCCTAGATGTTAGCTGCCCGGAGCTCAGTACAAAAGCTGATTTGTTTCTCGCCAGAGTCATGAGAAAGGAGCAGTGCGGAAGCGTATACCAAGACAACGATGCTGGAGCAGACGGTCTGCGAAAAGACTTCTGCGAAGCTTTGGATGATGCTAGGCGCTGTTACAGATTGTCATACTTTTTGGTGCCCTCAGATTCAACCGCGCTTGCTGGAATCAGGTCTTTGAGAGTACTCGAGATGAGAGGATGTGGGCTTCGCGACGAAGGGTACGCAGCCCAGGGAGTATTCATGTATTTTTTTCAGATATTCACAAGCTCAGGCTTGATGCTCTTTGCACGACGCATGCCTGACGTGATTGGTAGTGCCGTGGGGCCGGACAGACCGTTGGCAATCTTTGACAGGCTGGAGCGTTTTGATGAAGCATTGAGGCAGGGACCAGAAGTTTCATCTTTCTGGCTGCAAGTTGATGGAAGATATGATTCCTTTTGAACTGAAACAAGATTGCGCGCGGCGGCAGCTTTTTGCTTGGGGTTTGGACGCAGGCCAGTGGTAGCAGTGCAGAAGCTGAGTCTGAGTACGACCTTTGGCTGTACCAGGGACAGGCAATTACTGGTTGACCAATCTTCCATGAAAGCCCAGGAATCACATCACAGCTGAGGGAGCCAGGCAGTGACTGGTGACTTGTGGGCCGGCGGATCGAAACTGTCTGACGTGTCAATTTGCGTCAGGCGGTTGGCGCGGATGCTGTCTACCAACTTGAAGCTTGAGGCGTGCCCCTTTTCACTCCGAGTCATTCGGGTCACGATCCTTGTGAGGAATTGGATCTGTCAGACAACGACTTGCAGAAGGCCTTTGTACTTAAGCATCTTGCACTCCAAAATGCACGCACGAGGCAGGCGGGGAGGCCATCGCATCGGGCCTTGTTGGCAACAAGGCCAGGCTGTTGCGGCCTTTGCAGAACAGCGGTCGTTTCCCTGACTCAGGGACGCCTGCAGAAGTTGAATATGTCCCACAACCGTCTGAGGGTGCCACCCCGATTGTCCTTGTAAGCCTTGCAACCATCAGCATTGTGACTCCGCAACTCAGGCTGGGGGTGCTCGACCCTTGCTCCAGAGATTCCTAGAGATGCTTTGATCGCACTCTGTCTTTGCTTCCCGAGTCAGTGACATCTTTTTGACAGCCAGCTTCAGAGGCAAGCTACAAGCGTCATCTGATGCACTTACGGATGCCAAGGACCGATTCCAAGCTGCAGATTTGCATCAGAAGGCCTTAAGACAGGTTTGAGAGAAGTGGACCATTTCTGTGGCCAGGCTCGCAGGAACAAAGCATGGGTTTGTGCTGGCCGGCATGACGGCTGGTGGCTGAGAGACTGCGAGGCTGAGAGGCTGCTAGGGGCCGGAGCTGCTGAAGGTTGCACCCGGTCGATGTGCCAAGGTCACTGGCTTGGAGTTCCTCGCCGCAGACTTAGGGCAGGGTACAGAGCTGTTGGCGTTCTGTGTACACAACGAGGGCTGGGTGGAGCAGCACAACAACAACAATCGAAGTGAGGCCGTTTTTCCTGGCGACAGGACAGGCCTGTTTGTCTTGCTGTTGAGACGGTGGTGGTCGAAGCCCATTGCTTGGCAAGGATTGTTGAGGTCAATGGCAAGACGGATTCTGAAGAGATGCTCTATGAGCTGACAGTTGGAGAGGCAAGCTTGCAAGTGGACCAAATGGCGAGTCAGATGCTTCTTGCAGTGGCAGATTTGGAGGGCACACAGCCTTTTGAAGCTCAGGTGCTGAATATCATGCTATTGCGTGATGGTGTTTGTGCCGCTGGCAAGATTTGTGTCACTGCATGTTGCAGTCTGCAGACATCTGGCTTTGGGCAGCTGCCTGCCAGGCATGAAGACTTTGGACCTGTGCTACAACTTGCTGGGCACGAAGGGCTCGGAGGACTGAGGGTCTTGTTGTGCGACGCAAGGGTGAAGGAAGCTAGTTGCTTGGCTGCTTCAGGAGTTGATGGCAATCGTTGGATGCAAAAGACAGGCAAGCCTAGCTCAGCTGTGCAGCAGTTTTAAGTATGATGTGCGCCACGGGAGCAAGACACTTGTGCAAATCCTGCTGCATGTTGCTTGAACTTAACGCAGGGATCTATGCTTGGAAATCAAGTGCGGTTGGATGGTGGCAGGCCGGAATCAGCTCCATTCACTCTTTGTGCCCACTCCTTTAAGACGCCCAGGATCCTGCTCATGAATGCGTACTAGCACAGCAAACGACCTTGGACTTGCCAAGCAAGCATCAAGGACTTCAGAAGTCTAGCCACGCTACATGCGTGGATCATGTCTCCTGACCTTGTCAGAGGGTAGAAAACAGTGCTGCTCGACGGGACATCTGTTGCTTCTTAAAGTTTAGCGCCGTGCAGCTTGATCCCGGGAGTACGCAGAAGGCGTGAAGCGGCATGCGATTCAGGGAGATTGATTTGCTTGTTGGCTCAATCTGTGACGTTAGGGTGCGGTGGCGCCATCAAGGCCTTGATCAAGAGGTTTGTGCTTTAGTGTATTCCGTGCGGTGTCATGGCCACAGATCAGCGCAATTCCGACAAAGCAACGCACCAAAGGGAGCTTGATTTGTGTCCCTCCAGGTCATGGCTTCTCGCGTCGCTTCGGCCTGCCTGGCAGTTGAAGAGCTCGGATTTGGCGATTCGAATCGCCGGCAAGGGGTCAGCGCCAGGTGCTGTGCGCGGCCTGCATGGCCGTGCTGGCAGCGCAAGTCCTGGCCTTCACTGTGGGCCAGCCCAGCCAGGCTCGACTTAGCCTCAGATTTAGGAAGCGAAAGAGCTTTGCCAATTTGCCGTGGCTTTCCAGGCTGTGTCCTTGCCGCGTATCGAGGGAGTGCAGTGCTGAGACAAAAGCATTTGGCAGCATAAATCCAGTTTTGGAAGACCCAGTATCGAGAGGTCAGTGCTGGAAGTGCAAATTCCGCAGGCACAGGAAGCTTTAGCTTTGCCAAATGAGCTTTCGCTTTGCCAGGCCAGAAGGATGGTGGGGCCATTTGTGGCGCAGTGGGGGCCTTAGGGCCTGGCCTTGCATTTGGCTGGTGCAAATTTGGCTCGGCTTAGTGAGAGAGGTGGTGGCGATGCTGGCCGCCAGCGGCCTTGCGGCCCGCAGCCGGCGCCGAGGGACGGTGCAATGCAGGGGCCTTAGCTCGGATCCGAGTGGGAAGAGACGAGCAACTCATGTGCAAGGCAGTCAAGTTTGTTTGAGTCACAGGGTGAACCTTAGGTGGACAAAACACTTGCATCAAGCAAAACACATCTGATAAGCTGTTTCATTGCGGACTTGAAACTGGCCTCTTGGAGTCTGCATCTCAACACCATGAGCAGCGCCCGAACTACTTCCTGGTCTAATTGATAAGGGTTACACTTCCATCATTGGCCTTTGGGTGCTGATCGACTTATATTTGCAAGCTTGTTTTGCGATTCGGAGGGAATTGAGATGTTAATTTATTTGTTGCAACATCACTATTGTCACATTGTCTCGATGTTGGATTTGTACAATCTGGTTGCTGCTGTGTTGCTTGCAACATATTTGCGCGGTGACGTCCCAGTATTCTTGTCTGACAGATCTCACCCTATTTTGCCGTGGCCTCTTCGGACCTGGGATATGGAACCTGGAATCTGAGCACATACAAACACATACTTTGCATCAACCCTAGAGAGTGACATGGTACATTGCTTTCCGGCCCCAACCCAATGACCCTCCCTGCACCTTTTAAACCCACCTTAAAAGATCATAGCCGAATCTAAACCCAGCGTACATAAACCCAACTCTAAGCCCCCACCCTAAACAATCCAGAATCAGCTTTGCAACCAGGTCCCATCCTAAGTCAAATGCACTGGTATCCGGCCGAACCACAACATATGTGCAACGGTCAATGTTCAGGGATGACATTGGGCACACTGTCCATTGGGCACACTCTCCATTTTTCCCTAGGAAAGGTGGTTACTCGACTTTGTCCGTTGAGAGTTATGGATGCAATGCCTGACATGAATCCACATTTCGTCACATTGCATTATATACATTTCATTAGATTTCACAACATGTCATTCATGCCATTTAATGTTTGCATTTGTTTGTGTATATTCTATATATATATAATATATACACATGTTTCTATGACAATGAGGGACACAAGTCAGACTGCTCTTGACTGGGTAGCAATCCGAACTCTTCCCTGAGGGGCACATTGAATGCCAAATGTCCATTTGAGAAATCGCCGAGGCATGGTTGGTAAGTTTTGTGAACCCAGTCATGAACTGAAACCCCAGCCCAAACCCTCTCGGGTCCCAACCTCCCCGCTCGCCCTCAGACAATGAACTGCTTCCAAAGCATTTTTAAGCATTTTGATGCCTTCAGCAACTCCGGAGTGCAGTCTCAAACGTGAGCGGATGCAAAGCATGCACTTGCAAAGGCACTCTTGGGCTCCGCTTTGCCTGAATCCAATGCTCAGGCAATGCGTTCTCCAGCAGCAGCAGTGCTAGCCCTGGCTGAAGCTCCCCCGGCGGCCAGTTTGAGCTTGAGCGCAGGCGGCTTCATGGGTACCTCCTGTGCATCCGCCTACATCACCACCTACGAGGTCAGAAGTGCAACAACGTGCGTAGCATATTATGCAACTTCTGGGCAGGTGCCGGTGCATCAACCAGAGCCCCGGGCAATGTCAGGCCAGGGTGCATGCTCGCTGCGCAGGCAGTTGCGTTGCTTCAGGTGTGGCCAGCATGGGCATGAAGGTCCGGGCCAGTTCTGACTTGCGAGTGACACTGGACCTGACAGACCTGACGACCTGACGGACCTGACAGGCTCAAGTGTGGTGGATCACAAACACCGGCTTCGACGGCCCAAAACGGGGCGGAGCCAGGATTTTTGACAGCAGGCGCCGTGAATCCAGGCGCGGCTTCGCGCTTTCTCAAGGGGGATGGGGGGGGTTGAGCAAGAGGGACTCAGTGCGTGGGACGCAGTGCCCGCCTTTTGCATTTGACCAGTTGACCCTCTTTGACCCTCTTGTCATTGTCTCAAAGCAGCTATGTGCCATGCCACTGCACTAGTTCATTCAGGCGTCGTGGGGAGGAGCTCTTCCGCGGAAGCCCCAGCGGCTTCAGTGGCCGGACGCATTAAGCTGTGGCTGAGGTCATAACGTTAACGAGTTCGAGTTCTGCGTGCACAATCTGGTTGCCGCACCGGGGTCAAGGCAGAAGAGGACGGCCCCTCTTGGCCAATTGCTTTGGAGCGCCGCTTTGGCTTGCACCGATTAGCTCAGGATTCAGCGTGGCCGCGGCAAGTATGGGCACCACGGACGAACTTGCGGTGCGCAACCTGGGGCAGTGAAATCAGCTGGCAGGTGCGAACATGGATTGCTGCTAAGGTTACGGTACCACCAAGAACGGTGCTCACAAGCGCGGACGCCGCACGCTGAACCCTGGCTACGAGGCACTAGATTCATTTGGTGCTTGGATTTGGCTCAGCCCCGCTGTGTCAGGGGAATCAGAAGCCACTTCACCTGAAGACACCAAAGCTCACTCAGGAGGTGCTACATTCCATCTTTGTCAAGGTTTGCTTGTTTGACCCTGACGTGCGAGCGCCTGTCAATATCACTGTGGTGTAGCTGGGTGTGTATGAGCTTTTGAGGATTGAGAACCACTGCAGCTGTTGATTGTATCGCTGAAAGCATGCTTCTGAAAATGCATTGCGACAGCAACGGGACTCCATGAAAGCCGACCCCTTCACATGGGTGCCGCTGAAAGTGCAGCACCCAGTCAAAGTGAAACACAGGAAGTGTGCCTGTTTTACTTTCGTTCACCGGAATGCCGAGTGAGGGTCTCTTTGATGCAAGCAAGACTGGGCTGCAGCATTGCCATTTTAGCAGCTTGGATTTGCGTGATTTCTGCGAGCCGCACGTTGCCAAGGTGTTGAACCTCTGCGAAGATGGGGATGAGGCAAACCTTGGGCGAATCGCAGCGTTGTTTGTGCTCTAAGAAGTCCGGCCACGAAGCACATGAAGCCCAGGTTGATTACATGGATCTCAAGGTCCGAGGTCTTCCCGTGCCATCACGACGCAGGTTTGACAGGGCAGGAAGCTCAGACTCACGATGAGCTTGAGGTGAATGCATTGAACCTTCTTGCTTGTAGGTGAAGATCAAGGGCACGGATGAGGATGATGCTGGGTTGCATGATACTTGCATATTCCGTACAGCTCGAATGAAGTGGCTGTTACGTTTGCAAGCATGCACCGAGGAATTCACCGTCAAGAATTTGACAGCCGCCGACTTGGCCACCGAAGAGCTTGTTTGCCAGGGCTGAACAACAAGTCCAAGTTCGACAAGTTGTGATGCAAGCAGACAGAAATTTATATGTATGTAATGTAATGTAATGTAATGTAATGTTGCAATGCAATGCAATGCAATGCAATGCAATGTAATGTAATGTAATGTAATGTAATGTTGCAATGCAATGCAATGCAATGCAATGCAATGCAATGCAATGTAATGTAATGTAATGTAATGTAATGTAATGTAATGTAATGTAATGTAATGTAATGTAATGTAATGTATGTGTATGTACATGTACATGTATATGTATATGTATGTGTATGTGTATGTGTATGTGTATGTGTATGTGTATGTGTATGTATGTATGGGGGGACGTTCCGCGAGGAAATAAAAGCGCTCGCGGGGAAATAAAAAATGACGAAAGCAAAAATAAGCAAATGCGTGCGCAGAAATAAGCAAATTGCGTAGGAAAATAAAACTCACGTATAACAAACTAAACAAGCCCGCGCAACCCCCAAGCCTCGATTTGCGTAACAACCTCTACCTTATTTAGTTCTTGGCTTGCAAAGCCCATGAACAAGTATCAGGGCAAGAATCGCGCAAGAAAATTAAACACACAGATAAAAAATAAAACACGCCTCCGCAATCGCTCAATGCCTATCGCGCCACAATCCTTCCTGCATGTGTTTTTGTTTTAACTTCTCGGTTCAAACTGAACAAAGACTTGACAAGGAACAAACATCAGCGCAGAATTAAGCCGAGTACGCGCGAAAACAAATTACACAAGCGCAAAACATAACACGCAACAGCATAACGGCATGAATGGAAACATATACTACATTTTTTCGTTCCCAGCTCAAGATTGCTGCTTGAAAGCCCGCTCGTATCTACATTTTCCCTAGAAGCATTGCGCAGTAGTAGAGTCGTTGAGTTCTGCGCAGCTCAACTGCGCAGAGAAAATGGGCAGTGAAATGCATAGAGGCACGCGCACGGAAAGTAGACAATTTGATTGCCTAGAGGCATGCGTGGGGCAAGTGTAGAATGAAATGCATAGATGTTTGCACAGGGAAGGCTGCCGCCCCCCCCCCAACCCCCCCTCCCCGCGCCTTTAATTTGAATCATCATTTTTTCAATCATCGTGCGAGAGCCACTTTTTACACTCTTTGCCCCTAACTTTTCGATCCACTTTGTTGAACATCATGGCCCCCCCCGCTATTTTTTAGATTTTTTTCAGCCCCAACCCCCCCCCCCCCGGCTATTTTGGACCTTTTTGCACCAATTGAATCATCACTGTTTTTCGATCATCATTGGTGGGGATCACTTTTTCAATCATCACTGGGGGGGGGGGCCCTAACCCCCGCGCTGCTGTTTAGATTTTTTTGCCCCATGTTCGATCATCATAGGGGGGGGCATCGCTTTGTTTTCAATCATCATGGGGGGGCTGCCGCCCCCCCCCTTAACCACCTGCTGCTGTTTAGATGTTTTTCTCTTAATTGAATCATCACTTTTTCGATCATCATGGGGGGGGCCCCCCAACCCCCCTCCCCCCCCCCGCGCCTTTAATTGAATCAGCAATCATCATTGGGGGGGGGCCACGCCCCCGCTATCTTTTTCGAGTTTTTGCCCTTAGAATCATCACTTGTTCGACTATGATGGGGGGGCTGCCGCCCACCCCAACCCCCCCCCCGCCCCCCACCCCTCCCCCCCCTGCGTTTTCATATCTATTTTTTTTTGGGAGCGGCCCTGTTTCAATCATAGCTTTTTTGGATCACCGCCCCCCCCGCCCCGCTACTTTTTTTTGTGCCTGAATTGAACCATCATATTTTCCTCCTCCTCCTACTTTTTAACAGCTTTTTGGCCCCTATTTGAATCATCACTTTAACAATCATCATGATGGTTTTTGGCCCTAATTGAGTCATCCCTTTCTTGATCATCATGGGGGGCTGCCCCCAACCCGCCAAACCCCCCCCGCTACTTTGCACTTCGATCATCATGGCGCTGCGGCCCTCTTCCCCCCAACCCCCCTCCCTGCTACTTTTTAGACTTTTCTTTGGAGGGGTATTTATTTTATGATTTTTCGCGTTTTTTGTGTTTTGTTTTCGCTTTTGGCTTTGGCTTCTTGGCTTCTTGGCTTTGGCTTCTCCTTCTTGGCTTCTTGCTTTTCGGCTTCTTGCTTCTCGGCTTCTTGGTTTCTTGGCTTTTTGGTTTCTGGGCTTCTTGGCTTCTTGGCTTCTTGGCTTTTCGGTTCTCGGCTTCTGGGCTTCTCGGCTTTTTGGTTTCTGGGCTTCTTGGCTTCTTGGCTTCTTGGCTTTTCGGTTCTCGGCTTCTGGGCTTCAAGGCTTTTTGGCTTTTTGCTGGTTTATGCGGCTTTTGGTGGCTTTTGAGCTTTTCGCATCCGCTGCATTCCCAGTTCCTCTTCGGCAGGTAGCGTTTTTGCCTTTTTGCATCTTTTAGCTGGTTTGCGCGGCTTCGGCTTTGGCTTTTCGCATCTTCCGGCTTTTTGGCTATTGGTTTTTGGATTTGGCTTTCCGCATCATCAGCATCACCACCACCCTATTTGAATCATCACTTCTTCGAGCGTCATGCAAACAAAAACCCGCTACTGTTTAGATTGTTTGCAGAGTAATTGCACCCCTATTTGAATCAACTCTTCTTCAAACATCATGGGGGGGGGCGGCAACCCCCCCCCCCTTACTTTTTAGATTTCTTGTAGAGATTGAATCACCCCTGTTTGAACCATCACTTTTTTCGAGCGTCCAATTTCGCGAGAACATGCTGCAAAATACGACACTTTAGGTAATCTGTGTAGTCCATGTATGTCCGTATGTATGCAGTTCTTCGAACATCATAGGGGAAGCTTCTATCACACCCTTTCTTGAATCATTGCACCCCTACTTGAATCATCACTCCTTCCGGCATCATGGGGGGGGCTGCCGCCCCCCCCCCCCAACCCCCCCGCTGCGTTTAAGATTTTCTACAGAGATTTAATATTTAATTAGTTGCACCCCTAGTTGATGAATCACCAACTCTTCCAACATCAGCCCCCCCCCAACCCCCCCGCTACTTTTTAGACTTTTTGTAGACATTGAGTTGCACCCCTATCCAAATCATCACTTCTGCAAAAAACATTTGGGGGGGGGGGCTGCCGACGCCCCCCCGCTACTTTGCACTTCGATCGTCATGGCGCTGCGGCCCCCTTCCCCCCAACCCCTCTCCCTGCTACTTTTTAGACTTTTCTTTGGAGTGGTATTTATTTTACGATTTTTCCCGTTTTTTTTTTTTTTTTCGCTTTTGGCTTCTTGGCTTCTTGGCTTTTTGGCTTCTTGGCTTCTTGGCTTCTTGGCTTTTTGGCTTTTCGGCTTCTTGGCTTCTCGGCTTCTTGGTTTCTTGGCTTTTCGGCTTCTTGGCTTCTCGGCTTCTGGGCTTCTGGGCTTCTTGGCTTTTTGGCTTCTTGGCTTCTTGGCTTCTTGGCTTTTCGGTTCTCGGCTTCTGGGCTTCTAGGCTTTTTGGTTTTTTGCTGGTTTATGCGGCTTTTGGTGGCTTTTGGGCTTTTCGCATCCTCTGCATTCCCAATTCCTCTTCGGCAGGTAGCGTTTTTGCCTTTTTTGCATCTTTTCGCTGGTTTGCGCGGCTTCGGCTTTGGCTTTTCGCATCTTCGGGCTTTTTGGCTATTGGTTTTTGGATTTGGCTTTCCGCATCATCAGCATCACCACCACCCTATTTGAATCATCACTTCTTCGAGCGTCATGGGGGGGGCCCGCTACTGTTTAGATTGTTTGCAGAGTAATTGCACCCCTATTTGAATCAACTCTTCTTCAAACATCATGGGGGGGGGTTGCCGCCTCCCCCCCCCCCCTTACTTTTTAGATTTCTTGTAGAGAACGTGCTGCAAAATACGACACTTTAGGTAATCTGTGTAGTCCATGTATGTCCGTATGTATGCAGTTCTTCGAACATCATAGGGGAAGCTTCTATCACACCCTTTCTTGAATCATTGCACCCCTACTTGAATCATCACTCCTTCCGACATCATGGGGGGGCTGCCGCCCCCCCCCAACCCCCCCGCTGTGTTAAAAATTGTTACAGAGATTTAATATTTAATTGCACCCCTAGTTGAATCATCAATTCTTCCAACATCATGGGGGGGGGCTGCCGCCCCAACCCCCCCCCCGCTACTTTTAATTTTATTTTTTTCATAGGGATTGAAATGCCCTCCTACTTGAATCATCATTTCTTTCACCCCGTCACACGATTTGTTGGTGATGTTAGGGATGTTGGTCGGACATGCGGGGGATGTTGAACACGATGCTAGGGATGTTGACGGGCTGGCGTAAAATGCGTCAATTTCGCGAGAAAATGCTGTAAAATACGACACTTTACTGGCCCGGCAGAGATTGAATTGCACCCCTGTTTCACTTTTTCGAGTACCAATTTCGCGAGAACATATTGCAAAATACGACATTTTAGGTAATCTGTGCAGTCCATGTCTGTCTGTATGTATGCATTTCTTCGAACAACCCTCCCGCTGCCTTTTAAATTCTATCACACCCTTTCTTGAATCATTGCACCCCTACTTGAATCACCACTTCTTCCGACATCACGGGGCGGCAGCCCCAAACCCCCCGCTACGTTTTAGATTTTCTACAGAGACTAAATGAATTGCGCCCCTAGTTGAATCATCAATTCTTTGAACATCATGGGGGGGGCTGCGGCCCCCCCAACCCCCCACCCCCCCCCCCCTATTTTTTAGATTTTTTTCTGCAGAGACCGAATTACACCCCTATTCTAATCATCAGACCATCATGGGGGGTGGCAGCCCCGCTC